TCCTGGAAAATTTTTATGTGCATTTAAGAAGAAAGTATATCACTGGCACCGTTGGATGGAATGTTCTGTATATATCTGTTAGCTCTATTTGACGCATAGTGTTATTTATAATTGATTCACTCATTCCTTATTAATTCTGTAAGGATGATTTCTCCAGTGTTAAAAGTTGGATATTTAAGTCTCCTACTATTATTGTATGCTGTTTATTTCTCCCTCCAGTTCTGTTAATATTTACTTTAAACATTTATGTTTTCCAATGTTGGGTGAATATATATGTATAATTGTTATATCCTCTTGATGAATTGACCCCTTTCTCTGTCATGACCTTTTTTCTCTTGTGACTGATTTTACTGAAAACCTATTTTATCTAAGAAAAATATAGGTATGCCTGTTCTGTTTGGGTTACCATTTTCATAAAGTATCTTTTTCCATCTCTCCACTTTCAGCCTGCATGTGTTTGTAAAGCTAAAATGAGTCTATTACAGATAACATATTGTTGAATCATTTTTCTTAAATCCATTCAGCTACTTTCTATCTTTTGATTGTAGCATTAATCCATTTATATTTGTAATTATTGATAGGTAAATATTGGATTGGCCAAAAATTTCATTTTTTTCATAAGATGGCTTTAGTAGCACTTAGTTGTCTTTAACTTCATTCAAAACAATTTTGTTAGATTGTATTGTGACAGCTGTCATATCAGTGTGCATTTAAAAAAGCATCAAAATTGGTGGATTTTTGTGTAGCCATTTTAATATTGGAAGAAAATACACAACATTTTGGCATATTATGCTTTATTATTTTAAGAAAGGTAAAATGCAACCAAAAAGCAAGAAAAGATTTCTGCAATGTGTGGAGAAGGTGCTGTGACTGGTGTATCAAAAATGGTTTGTGTCAATGTGTCAAAAGTGTTTTGCAAAGTTTTGTGCTGGAGATTTCTTGCTAGATGATGCTCCATGGTCAGGTAGTAGAATTCAAATTGACTCATTAATTGAGAACAATCAATGTTCTATCACACAGGAGATAGCTGACATACTCAAAATATCCAAATCAATAAGGTTATTGGTAAAAAAGAAAAATATCTTTTACTTTACAGAAAAAACTAAATGGACTTTTTAGCCAATCCAGTACTTACTATTGCCACTTCTTTGTTATCTGAAAGTTTTTAGTTTCTTTGTTCCTTTCTTTTTCTCTTATTGTCATTTGTGATTTATGTTTTCTATTTGTTGTTTGTGTGATTTAATTGCTTTCTCTTTCTCTTTTATTTAACTACTGTTGATTTTTTTTTCACGGTTACCACAAGGCTTATATAAAACTTCTTATAGACATAACAGTCTAGTTTAAGTTACTGACAACTTACTTTCAATCACACAAAAACAACACTTTCACTTTTCCTCCTCCAACATTGTATGGTATTTTTGTTACACTTTACATGTTTTTTTATTGTACCTCCATTAACAAATTATTGTTGGTGTGGTTGTTTTTAATATTATCTTTACTTTTTACTTATAATAGAGGTAAAAGTAATTTATATACCACCATTATAATATTAGGATATTCTGAATTCAACTATGTATTTACTCTTACCAGTGAGTTTTATATTATTGGCTTGGCCAAAATGTTCATTTGGTTTTTTCCTGTAAGATGGCTCTAGTTGCACTTAGCTGTCTTTGACTTAATTCAAACAATTTTATTAGATTGTATTGTGACAGCTGTCATATCATTGTGTATTTTTTAAAAACTTATCAAAATTGGTGAATTTTTGTGTAGCCATTTTAATATTGAAAATGGAAGAAAATAAGCAACATTTTCAGCATATTATGCTTTTTTATTTCAAGAAAGGTAAAAATGCTACTGGAATGCAAGCAAAGATTTGTGCTGTTTATGGTGTGACTGATCGAATGTGTCAAAAGTGGTATGTGAAGTTTTGTGCTGGAGATTTCTCACTGGATGATATTCCACAGTCGTGTAGACCAGTTGAAGTTAATAGTGATCAAATTGAGATATTAATTGAGAGCAATCAACATTGTACCACACAAGAGATAGCCAACATACTCAAAATATCCAAATCAATATTGGTGAAAATGAAAAATGTGTTTTTTATTTTATGGAAAACACCATACAAAATTTTTGAGTCACCAAAATTGGCTGACCCAATATTATGTGTTTATGTCATTACATAGCATCCTTCCATTTCAGTATGAAGAACTTCCTTTACCATTTCTTGTAATGGCAAATTTAGTGGTAATGAACTCCCTCAACTTTCGTTTGTCTCAAAATGTCTTTATCTTTCCTTCATTTCTTAAGGACGGTTTTGCTGGGTTATGGTATTCTTGGTTGGCAGTTTTTTTCTTTCATCTCTTTAAATATATCAGCACACTGCATCCTGGCCTGCAATGTTTTTGCAGAAAAATCCACTTATAAGCTAATGGAAATTGCTTTATATGTGACAAGTTGTTTTTCTCTTGCTGCTTTGAAAATTCTCCTCTTGTCTTTGATCTTTAACATTTTGATTATAATGTGTATTTGGGTGTCCATTTCTCTCCCAAAATTTGAGAAGTTTTTCACTATTATATCTTTAAATAATTTTTCTGCCCCCTTTTCTCTTCTTTTGGAACTCTCATGATGAAATGTTTGTTTGCTTAATGGTATGCCATAATTCACTTAGGCTTTCTTCACTATTTTATTTTCTCTTTGTTTATGTGGCTAATTTTAAGTCTTTGAGTTTGATGATTCTTTCTTCTGCATTATTAGGGCTGTTGTTGAAACTCTACTGGGTTTTCAGTTCTGTCATGGTATTCTTCGGTTCTTGGATTTCTATTTGGTTGTATTTTGTTGTTTCTATTTCTTTGTTAAATGCAATTTGTTATGAATTATTTTCCTGATTTTGTTTATTTGTCTATCTGCATTCTCTTGCATTTTATTTTTTCTCATTAAATGATTGTTTTAAAATTTTTGTTCAAGGCAAATCATAGAACTGCATTTCTTTGGAGTCACTTACCAGAGGTATTTTACTTTCCATTGGTGCTATCATATTTCTTCATGAACAATGTAGCCTTGCATTGGTGCCTGTGCATTTGTTAGAGCAAACACTTCCTCTAGTTGTTACAGACTGATTTCAGAATATGAAGATCTTCTTATGTTTGTTCACTGGGCCGATAAGATTACCTGCAGGATGCAGCTGTGCTGGATTGGAGCTACTTGTAAGGCTGTTGCTAGGTCTGTAATGGGGTCTGTTGTTTGTGGGCTCATCACCAGGGCACAGGCTGGTGTGAATTCCTTCTGGTTCCTGGTTGGGTGTGATGGCCTCCAGTACCTTTTTCATTAGGCTGCCACTTATACAAGGGTCCATATTTGGGTCCTCAGAGAATGGATTTCCAAGTAAATTGTGGGTATGGCATCCATCAGGTTCCTGGGAGAACTGCTGCCTGGTCACTGGGTAAGTCCCTGGGTGGGCAGGACTGACTCTGAACAGTGGCTCTTTCAGATTCCACAGCCAATATTATGGTTTGTAGACTTGGCTCTACAGGCATAGATAGACATGCTCCTACTGGGTTACTGGATGGACAGGATTGGTTCCTGACCATGGCTAGAGGGGTTGGAATGGCCTATAGGGTTCTCGCAGGATCTCCTGAGGTTCAGTCATGTCTCCTACCAGGTCCCTGTGCTGGTAGAACTGCTTGTGTATTATAGCTGAGAGGGGCTGAAACCAAGCATAGAGTCCTTTCAAGTGTAGAGGGTCTCTGGGAATGCGGACAGGAGTGTTTCCTGCTGATTCCCTGTGGCAGCAGTACTATTCATAAATTGCAGTTGGGTGAGTCTGAGACTAAAGTATAGGGCCATCTTAGAATCTTAAGGTTTTTAGATATGAGTGTTTCCCACAGGGAGTCTGGACCATCAGTACTGCTGACTGACTAGGGCTGTGAGGTGGCTGGGGCTGTATATAGGGATGGTCCTAATTTCTCCAGGGGTACAGATGGGAGTGGTTTTTTTTTTGGCTTGGTATCCCATGCCAGTAGGCTTGCTCATGGACTGGATACAAAGGGCCTGGAGTAAAGTATAGGACTCATTTAGGATCTTCAGATGGGAATGTCTACTTCTGGTACCCTGGATGCTCAAGTCTTCTGGAAGACTGGAAAACTGTGGCTATGAGGAAGCTGGAACCAAGTATAGGGCCCTTTCAGGATTTCAGGGCATGGACAGAAATTTATCTGTTTGGCACCTGTGTCAGAAGGTCTGCTTGGCACAGTAGCTCAGTATAGACTGAGAGAGGGGGATACCTATTATCAGCCCCTTTTAGGATCTCTGGGGGTACAGACAAGAGGACCCATGTGCCAGTGAGGCTGTTTATGAAATATGTGTGGAATGGGCTAGACCTGAGTTACAGGGCCATTCAGAATCTATAATCTGATCAAATTTGTCAGTCTTATCTCCAGGAGTTTCTGCAATGCAACTGAGAGGGGCTGGAGCTGGCTCAAAGGCCACTTCTGAGTCCACAACCAGGACCAAGGTCTCTATGCCTATTACCTGATTCATGTGTGGGCTTGCCTCCTATAGGTCCCCTGATGGCATTTGCTGGTGACAAATGCAAATCCAAAAAGAGCTGTAGCCAAGTTCTCAGGGGTATAGAGCTACTTCCATAGCAGCCACCTGGGTGTGACCCTGCCTTCTCAAAATGGCTTTATTCATTCTGGGACTGCACCAGGGTTTCACAATCTCCTACTTGAATCTGAAAGCTCCCATGAAGACCATTTTGTCCGTGTATGGATGCCAAATTATTTTTGTTAAAGGGAAATATATGCAAGGGACATCTTATTTGGCCATTTTGCTGATATGCTGTGCTATATAATGCAACTTGCAACAACAAAGACTAGGATTTTTCAATTATTTACAAAAATTAAGATAAATAAAAAGCAAAACATCAACTATTAAGTTTATTTTTACTTATTAATATTAGAGCTAATTAAAATGTTAGAATCCTTGACACCTATTTATATTAGACTCGGGAGACCTGGAGTTGATTGTTATTGCCAACATGAAAGTGGTGCAGCTGTTCTGCAGCTCCAGTTCTTAATCAATGAGGTAAGGATGTCTTTGACTATTTATCACACACACACTGCATTCATTGATGTAATATTTTTTATATTTTCATTTTAAATGCTTAAAGATATATATGTATGCAGCATTGTTCATGGTCAAATTTTTCATAAAAGTCTTTACTCCAGTATTTGTCAGTTTATTAAATTTTAAAAGAAAAAGTGGCATGTGTTAGAAAATCCTGTTATTATGATTGTGTAGAATAAGTTAGATTATTTAAACATTTTTTTAAATATTACTAAAATTCTTTGATTGCTTTACTAACTATAAAACTTTTCTTCTATGCACTCTCCTCCCACCAACTTAAATTTTATAATTCAGCACTAATTTAATGTTTTGTCTTTATCTTCCACAAAATAATCTTTTCATTTATTTACTTATAGGCTCTTTTATTTGTGTATATCTCCATGTGCATTTGTTGGTATATGTATGAATTTATATTTATTTATGCATCCATAGCTATTGTGACAATTAGCTACCTACCCTATCCCTATCTTTATAAACCTTTGGTGGTTAGGAACTCCCTAAAGACAAAATCTATATTTACAAAGCTCAGAAAGGTTGATGATCTTCCATCAATTGAGGGCTTCTTCAGGCCATCTTGACTCAGATTTTTTTTTTGAGTGGGCAGATGTTTTATTTGGTTTGAATGGCCATCTCATAGACCTTCTTTATAAAAAAATGTTTAAAAAATTTCAATTACAATTCAGATGCAATATATTACTTTCAGGTATACAATATAGTGATCAAACATTTATATAACTTACAAAGTGATCACTCCAATAAGTCTAGTACCCACCTGACACTATACATAGTTATTGTAATGTTATTGACTATATTTCCTTGCTTGTACTTCACATTCCTGTGAATGTTTTTTAACTGGAAATTTGTACATCTTAATCCCTTCTCCCTTTTCACCTATAATCTCAACCCTTTTTCGTCTAGCAACCATCAAAATGTTCTGTGTCTCTATGAGTTTTTTCTCTTTTGTTCATTTATTTTGTTTTTTAGATTTAACATATAAATGAAATATGGTATCTCTCTTTCTATGTCTGACTTATTTCACTTAGCATAATACCCTCTGGGTCCATTCATGTCATTGCAAATGGCAACATTTCAATTTTATAGACAAGTAATATTCCTTTGTATATATGTACCACATCTTGATCCATTCATCTATCAATGGACACTTAGGTTGCTTGCATAGGTCGGCTGATATAAATAATGCTGGAATGAACATAGGGGTCCATATGTCTTTTTGAATTAGTGACTTGGATTTCTTTGGATAAATACCCAAAAGTGGAATAGCTGAATCGTATGGTAGTTCTATTTTTAATTTTTTTAGGAAACTCCATACTGTTTTCCATAGTGACTGCCAATTTACAATCACCAACAGTGCACAAGGCCTTTTTCCCACATCACTCCCAATACTTATTGTTTGTAGATTTATTGATAGCCATTCTGACAGGTGTCTCAGAATATTTTTAATTTGCATTTCCCTGATGATTAGTGATGTTGAGTATCTTTTAATACATCTGTTGGCTATCTGTATGTCTTCATTGAAGTAATATCTATGCAGGTCCTTTGCCCATTTTAAAACAAATCTTTTGGTGTTAAATTGTATGAGTTTCTTATATATTTTGGATATAAACCCCATATCAGATGTATCATTAGCAAATACAATCTTGCATTCAGTAGGTTGTCATTTTATTGATGGTTTCCTTAGGTGTGCAAAAGCTCTTTAGTTTGATGTAGTTTCACTTGTTCATTTACTTTTTTTGTTTCTCTTGCCTGAAGAGACATAGTTAAAAAAGTATTACTAAGAGTGATATCAAAGAGTTTATTGCCTATATTTTCTTCTAGGAGTTTTATATGGGGTCTTACATATAAAACTTTAATCCATTTTGAGTTTATTCTTTTATATGGTATAAGAAAGTGACCCAGTTTCATTTCCTTGCATCTCTCTGTCCAATTTTTCCAACACCATTTCTGGAAGACTATTTTTACACCATTGTATTTCTTGCCTCCTTTGTTGTAGATTAATTGACCATATAGGCCTGGATTTATTTCTGGGTTCTCTATTCTGTTCCATTGATCTATGTCAGTACCATGCTGTTTTGATTACTGTAGCCTTTTAGTGCAATTTTATATCAAGTAGCATGATTCTTCCAACTTTGTTCTACTTAAGGTTGCTTTGGCTGTTTGGAGTTTTTTGTGATTCCATATAAATTTTAGGATTATTTGTTCTAGTTCTGTGAAAAATGACATTGGTATTTTGATAAGGATTGTATTGAATCTATAGATTGCTTTGGGTAGTATTGACATTTTAACTATTTTAATTCTTCCTAACCATGAGTATGGTTCATGCTTCCATTTATTTGTATGTTTTTAAATTTCTTTCTTCAATGTCTCACAGTTTTTCAAATGCAGTCTTTTACCTCCTTGGATAATTTTATTCCTAGCGTTTTTTGATGCAATGATAAATGGGATTTTTTTAAATACCTCTTTCTGAAAGTTCTTGTCTCAAATATTTACAGTGGATCCTTGAGTCCTCTGGAGCTCTTTTATGTTAAGTGAGCTGGCCAATGCAAAAATGCTTTAAGAGTTTGTGCCATATCAAATCTGCTAAAGCACATAGCAGGTTGAACTCAGTGCATTGAGAAAAAATGAGGTACTACTGCTTGCTCTCATATGACATGAACAATGATTTTTAATTCAGTGTCTTTATATATTTGTGTATGCACCTCTTTCTAAGCACTTATAATCAATCATAAACATGAATACAATGGTTAATGGAACTTCATATTAGAGACATCCAAGTCGTGAAGAATTTGTGATATTGGCAGATGTCCACTTTTTACTTCTCTTGGCTCAAAATCTTTCTCATAAGGTTTTGAGATTCTCCTTATTGACAAACCTAGCATATTTTACTTTATAGACATACTTGCTGTTGGATACCAAAATGAGAGAGGGAGATGAGGAAGAAAAGGGAAAACACTTTTTAAAAATATTTTATTATAATAGCTAGTCATTAGTATTTATAATGACAGCCTTTTTAAAGTCTCAGTGTTACTGGTTGAGAGAGCTTAGCCTTTTGCCTTCTGCATGGATGTGTACTGGCAGACATAAATTGTTTGCCAGTATCTCCCCCGGGTACAATTTTCTGAGAATTGTCTTTGAGGCCCTATGTTTTCCTCTGTGCTACATAACTGAGAATATATAAAGACAAGCCTTTAACATCTTTCCATTGTTTACATTGTGTATCCTAAACCACTTACCCTGATCTACTTCATATTCAGCTCCTGTACTTTTTTTTCCAAAATTCCTAGTTTTTGACCTTATGACTAGTGTTTTTGATCACAGTTTTTAATCTTTTCATAGATCTTCTTTAGTAGTGCTTCTTGTAGATTCACTTTACTTGCACATGAGCCCTAGACACACTGATGATGTGCTTACTGTTATGTGTCCTATCTCTATTCATGCTGTTATTCTCAGAGATCCTATTCATTTCCCTTCAATGATAAGTTACCTTTTAGTTTTTTCATAGAATTAATAATACTGACTTCCTCCTTAGATTTATTCAGGTATTACATTAAATATTATTGATATATGTTGCTTTAATTCTGTTGCCTTTGGCATATTATATCTTTTGTATAGCATATAACTTATTTACTGTGGAGAATGTTTTATTAATTTCCTATATTACATTTTATCTTCACCCTATCCCAAGTGAATTTCCACTTTCCTGAGAAGTGATATCAGTATTTTTTATCTCAAAAAAATAATTGTAGCTCCTTAAGCACTTACAGGCAATCCAAATAATTTTGTAGTTTGTATATATGAAAATACTTTTACAAATAAAACAAGCAAACAAAAATCCTCAAGGCAAGTATAGGGTACATTTTATTGGAATGTAGTTACCTGTGAGTTCATGTTGGAGTGTATATATCAATATACCTCTTTGAACATGTGTATTTATACATTTATGTACAAATATAAACATTACACAAATTTTTTAACATTTTAATGGATATGTTATGATTATGATTGGTGTTTTAAAAGTTCTTCTCCTTGAGGCTAAAATCACAGGTACAGAATATTAAGGGAACCATCATAGGATGCATGAGTATTTTTGTCTTAGGAATGATTTTGGAAGGGCATTTAGATTCCTATCTTCTTCTCTAATTCCTAAAGAAGACATAGATTTTAGGAATTTCAATGTAGTTCTTCCTAGCATCTAAATGGGATTATGATTTTGATATCTGTAATTGATATCTGTAAACAAAGACAGGTTACTTATAACAGAGTACTTTGGGAAATATGAAAACAATTTTAAGTATCTCAGGATCACCATGATTCTGCAAGATCACTTTTAAAGGAACATTTTAGTACTCTAGAGTAGCTTCAGGCTGTGTCACAGGAAAAGCTCGGACATGTTTAGCTGGGAAACGCATTCTTGTAAAAGTTCTGAAATTGTTTAAGATGATATTACTGCACTCAGTGAAATAAATAGTTTAAGTGTGTTTTTGTATATCATCCATGGCAGCTAGTTATCTTCCCATATGGTGTCTGCCATATTAAGAAGTAGAAAACATTGTATTTAAAATAGGATTTATTTGTATTTGGAGATGTTATATAAACATAATCATAACAATATTTTTGAAGTTATACTGAGTTCTATTTGGAGAAATGTCTTCTTTTATTATAGATGGTTTCTTTTATCAGAACTGAAGTTTCTTGAACTATAAAAACAAATTAAACCATACCAAATATACTTTTTTAGGAATAATATATACTTCCCAACTGTAGTATATAGAAAAAATTCTTACAAATAGAGAATTTTTATGCGACTAGATTGAATTTTAAAACTAGGTTGGATTTTTGCTTCTCTGCAAAGCTATATAGTGTAGATGTCGATGGTAGAAACAAAAAAAATTAAACTAAATTTTCCCCAAAGACAACAGAAACAAATCCTTAATAGTCACAATGATGCTTACAATAATTTTTCCTCTATATTAATATATGCATATTTCTCAAGGTAGTCATCCTGACCAAATCGTATGCTGTAGTTTACTTGCTTCTTCCACTTCAGTATTCTTAGGCTTCCTGATTGGAGTATATGCAGTTGACCTTCTATGTATTTCTAGGTTATATAGATCCAAATAATTCTTTAAGCAGTGAAAAATTCAGTAAATTAGGTTGTCATTTTTGCTTCACAATAAACCCTAAATTAAATAAATCACTTGCTAAATTTGTTGTCTTTTTGTTCTAGGGTGCTTTGGTCAGTGCAGGTTCAGATGATACACTTCATTTGTGGAACCTTAGACAAAAAAGACCAGCTATTCTTCATTCTCTTAAATTTAATCGAGAACGGTAAGAATTTATGAGTTAAACCATTTACTAAGGTACAATAAAATTACTTCCTGAGCAAGTTATAGGTTAACTTATAGAAGATTTTTTCCATAATCTTAATAGCTGGAAATAATGTAATGTTTATGGTTGCTTTATAATAATTAATTTTCATAGAAAATTCATAATTGATATAGATTTAGTCATCATCTGCTAATGAAAAGCTTCTAACATTTCTGTCCTCCTTGCTATAAAACAGCACTTCAGCATTGATGTATTCTTTTCCCTAAGCAGGGTGCTGCAAACCCTGACCTAAAATCTGAGGCAAGTAAATAGTAAACATATGGTTATACCTTTGATCATGGCAGTTACTTCCTATACTTTCATCCTTTTGCTTAAATATTTTTTAACATTAAAAAAATTCTGAGACAAAAGTTTTAGATATCAAAAACTGTTGGTACTAACTGGTGAGCAATACTACATATTCAAGGTTCATGTTTAAGATAGCAATTTGATCAAAATTTTGATTCCCCATTTTAGAATGAAATAATAATCAGAATGAGAAAGTTATATGAATGGATATAAAATGTTATTAGATTTTATGTGTAACAAGTTGTACCAAATTTTAATGTTTCTAATATTAGATTCAACCAGGCCTAGAACATAACACACATCCACTTACCTAATAATATACTTTGAAGTAAAATTATATTTTATTGTCTGTCTTTGTACTTTAACTATAAAACATTCTAATGTTTGTTTATTATTTAGAGAGTAGTCATACAATTTGCAGTGAATGGAAAGGGTCATCACAAGAAAACTTGATGTTTGTGAAAGAAAAAGAAACCTCTGAGAAATAAATTTACACAGATTAGTAAGCATTGTTCAAACTGATGTTGGTGAATAATAGAGGCAGGCAGCCATTTCTGAGAGCTCAAGATAGTATTAATTTTATTGAATGGTCATAGTTCATAAAGAATTATCATTATAGGCAGTGCTCAATTAAGTAAACCTGTTTTTCATAAGAATAGTGAGAAAAAAAGGATGGCGGCTTTTCTTTTCTGAAGCTTTTTCTTTTTATTCTCATATATATATACTATACTATAGTATATACGATACTGTTTAAATTATTAACTCTCAATATTTTGAGTAGTATTCATGAATATTATGTCTTCAGTATTTTAGGATTCAGCATCAATGGAAATTTTTATTGTGTCCAATATCTTTTTTAAAGCTTTTATTTATCTATTTTTTAGAGAGAGGGGAAGGGAGGGAGAAAGAGAGGGAGAGAAGCATCAATGTGTGGTTGCCTTTTGTGTGCCCCCTACTGGGGACCTGGTCTGCGATCCAGGCCTGTGTCCTGACTGGGAATTGAACCAACAACCTTTTGATTTTCAGGCTGGCATTCAATCCACTGAGCCACATCAGCCAGGGCCAATATCTTTTCAGATGAAGATATTTATATTTTAGATATTTGCTAAAATTAGATAGGAATTCTTTCTTGCTTGCTTGCTTGTTGTTTTTTTTTTTGCTATTTATTTCATTTATTTGTGTTTTTATCACCATGATATTACTAGCTTAAAATGGTGGTTCTGTTGCCAAAGCAACTAAAATGGTTAACTCCACTTGTTACAGACCCTACTGAGTTCTTGGCTATGCTCACTTGTTATTTTTTTTAAATTAAAGAATGAAATCTATTCCTTGTTTCACATATTTTTTTCTCTTGCTGATTATTTCTTCACCACGGTATCCTTCTCACTTTCATTCAACTACTGTATGGTTTCTCCTGCATGCATCAAGTTCTTTGCTTCTAATTATACTTGCTTACCTAGATGGCTTTCGTTTCCTCCTACACCATAGATATTCTTTTGGATCATTATTTCTCACCCACAAATAAACACAGACTGTTTATATTTAAGGGATCCATAAAAGAAGAAGAGCAAGAAATGTGGAATGAGAAGACTTCTTTAGTTTAGATCTAATTTTGGTTATTTTTAAAACTTTAAAACAAGTAATATAACAGAAATTTTAGGATATTAAAATAAAAGGTCAGTCAAGAGATGTTATACTATTTCTGTTTCTTTACACTGAACATATTACCTACTCAGATATTGCCATCCTAACATTTTGTTTGTTTAAGTGGTTTGAATATTTTGGCCATACACTTTTGTATAGATGGACAGAAAGGGTTATTTTCCCCTCACAACTGGAATATTGAAGGAAATGTTCTAGCCCCTTTTATGGCCCTTTTGGGGAGAAAGAATGATTGGTAGTGATGGTTGCCAATTCTAATTTTATTTTCTCATTTGAGGTGGATTTAACTGGAAGCAAAATAAGAATGTAAACTGAAAAATTTTGGGCAAGTTTAAAGTATGGGAACCTTGCAAGCATTGCCTATATTAATGCTTACAAAAATGTGATATATATCTTTTTCCCCCACAGTATTTTCTTTATTTATATGTTTATTTATATATTTATTTATTTGAGTGAATAATGGGGAAGCACTGATGAACCTGCAGGGTCTATGAGTAGGAAGTCCATTAATGAAACTATCAATGTCCATGGTTGCCAGAAAACACTTGAAGGGAGAAACTGGGGAACAGACAGATTAGTACTCTGGGTAATGGAAGGCAGGGGACCCCCTCTACTCCACTGGCCTTTGACCATTTTGCCTTGGGTCCCTGCCCCTTTCTCCAGTTGATCTGGTGCCCCAGTAGGAATCCTCTTGCTCCCAGCATGTGCAGGCAAGGGAACTCCAGGTAGAGCGATCACTGCAGGCAACCATTCTAGAGGGTCCACCCACCCTTGAGGGCTGCAGCAGACAGAGATCCTGGGACTTAGGAGTCTGCTTGGCCTCCAGTTTTCAACTCATCCCCAGAGTTAAGCTCCCTGCCACCTCTCCCCTCCACCCATATGAGAGAGTCACTTTTCCTCATTAATTTGGGAGCATGTCTAACTCCAGTGCCTCTGGCTGGGAACCTGATATAAAGAAAAAGAAATTCATTTTCTTAAAATTGAGAATAATCATTAACACTTGACTGGAGAATAACCATTAACTCTTGCAGTTTATTGTGGAGGGGGAAAATATCTTTAAATATATGGTGAACGAGAGGATTAGGTCTATAAAGGAAAATTTATCCAAGCATCTTTTGGAACTCTTAAATCCTCTTAAATTAGCTATTTAATTATGTAAATTTCTATATATGGCTATGCCATATATATAGTTTATGGTATACATTTTAGTGTTTTTAAATATATTTTATTGATTATGCTATTACAGTTGTCCCATTCCCCCCCTTCACTCCCCTCCACCCTGCACACCCCCTCCCACCCACATTCCCCCCTTTTAGTTCATGTCCATGTGTCATACATATAAGTTCTTTGGCTTCTACTTTCCCCATACTATTCTTACCCTCCCACTGTCTATTTTCTACCTACCATCTATGCTACTTATTCTCTGTACCTTTCTCCCCTCTCCCCTTTACACTCCTCTGTTGCTAACCCTCTATGTGATCTCCATTTCTGTGGTTCTGTACCTGTTCTAGTTGTTTGCTTAGTTTGTTTTTGTTTTTGTTTTAGGTGTGGTTGTTAATAATTGTGAGTTTGCTGTCATTTTGCTATACGTGTTTTTTATCTTCTTTTTCTTAGATAAGTCCCTTTAACGTTTCATAAAATAAGGGCTTAGTGATGATGAACTCCTTTAACTTGACCTTATCTGAGAAGCACTTTATCTGTCCTTCCAATTCTAAATGAAAGCTTTGCTGGATAGAGCAATCTGGGATGTAGATCCTTGCAGTTTATGACTTGGAATACTTCTTTCCAGCCCCTTCTTGCCTGTAATGTCTCTTTTGAGAAATCAGCTGACAGTCTGATGGGAACTCCTTTGTAGGTGACTGTCCCCTTATCTCTTGCTGCTTCTAGAATTCTCTTCTTATTTTTAACCTTGGGTAACTTAATTATGATGTGCCTTGGTGTGTTTCTTCTTGGGTCCAACTTCTTTGGGACTCTTTGAGCTTCCTGAACTTCCTGGAAGTCTATTTCCTTTGCCAGATTGGTGAAGTTCTCCTTTCTTATTTGTTCAAATAACTTTTCCACTTGTTGCTCTTCCTCTTCTCCTTCTGGTACCCCTATGATTCAGATGTTGTAAGATTTAAAGATGTCCTCTCTAGGACATCTTTTGAATTCTTGTTTCTTTACTCTTTTCTGATTGGATGTTTCTTTCTTCTGGTCCACACCATTGATTTGAGTCCCAGTTTCCTTCCCATCACTATTGAATCCTTGTACATTTTCCTTTATTTCACTTAGTGTAGCCCTCATTTTTTCATTTAATTTGTGACCAAATTCAACCAATTCTGTGAGCATCCTGATTACCAGTGTTTTGACCTGTGCATCTGATAGGTTGGCTACATCTTTTTTGCTTATATGTATTTTTTCAGGAGCTTTGATGTGTTCTTTCACTTGGGCCATATTTTTTTGTCTTAACACACCTGTCATGTAGTAAGGGGTGGAGTCTTAAGTGTTCACCAGGTGGGGTAACCCACGTCACTCTGTTGTGGTGCTGTATGTGGGGAAGGGGTCCCAGAGGGAACAATGGGTGTTGCTCAGCTCTCTGCTGGATTTCAGTATCTTCCCCCACTTCCCACAAGCAAATTGGGCCCTTTGGTGCTGGTTCCCAGGTGGGTGGGGCTTGTATACATTCTAGTACCCTGTGGGTCTGTCCAATGAACTCCCCTGTGAGGCTGGGAGTTCCCACTTCCCCTTTGTTTCTCCTGGTTTATCTGCGCAGGAATTGCTGTGAGTCCTTGCTGTGAGTCCTCTCTTCCCCAGCTGCCTGTCTCTGCCTCTCCTACTGGTCTGTATGAATGTTTCTTCTTTAACTCCTGTTTGTTGGACTTTTATACAGTTCGGTTTTCTATCAGTTCTGGTTGTTTTTTTGTTTTTAAATTGTTGTCCTTCTTTTGGTTGTGCAAGGAGGCACAGTGTGTCTACTTATACCTCCATCTTGGCTGGAAGTCCATTTTAGG